TCTGCTGGCTTTTTGAAACAAAATGGTGAATGGTAATGTTGCATTACAATGTTCTTTCAGAAGAGATCAGTAACTTTGGCAAACATGAGAAAAATTTGACACTGAAATTTTCTAAAAATGAAATATAGACCAACATTTTTAGGGAATTTTTTTATCTTGGTCATTTACAAAAGTTCATTATTGAAAAACAAATCAAAATCAATACATCACTGATAAAAATTATAGAATAAAATTAAATTTTTGTAAGATCATTCCTAATGTTGCCTCATTGAAAGGGCTTAACTGTGCATATGAATCTGATTCTGTTTGGCCATACTTCTATTATGAGAAATATATTTTATTATTTTGAATGCCAAACTTAGCTTTAATACAGTTGAAACTGAAGTAGTATAAGTTAAGTACTCATGATAACTTTCGAGATTTTCAATAAGTTAGGTAAAACGAAAACAAAAAATAACAGCTGCCTTCGTGAATAATATTAAAGCAGAATCATGTTATGTACAATTAAATTAAACAATTTATATTAAGAAATTGTTATTGAAAGTTAATAGTGAATTTAACCTCATGATATATTTATTTTCGTATGACTCACCAGCAAGATTAGTTCAGCATTTTATTTTAACTTATACCTAATCTATGTACGCTAAATAAATATTGGAGTTTTTTCTTTTAATTAATCCAAATTAATTGGCTCTCCTAATCAAATGAAGCCTCAATTCCAACTAGGATCATCCATAAGTGGGGTTCTAATGTGATATACAATTAACACAGCCCCATGTTGGCACTAACAACTACAATACTTAAATCACGGTAAAGTACAGCTAGCCATTTGATGTGATTTTATCAGTATGTATAAATAATAAGTGGAAGAAAGGTAACGTGCATAGTCAGCTTCACCTTTCTGCGAATCATAGTTACATCTAGTGCAATGACAGGAGAAACCAAGCTTGATCTCTTTAAGATCATTTAGAAAATGCAAAATAAAAACACTCCAGAAAAGGATAGTGACAGAAATCTACATAATATTTCGACTCAAACTGTAAAACTGTCAAATATGAGCCATTGAATGCAAAAATGGTATAAATGAAAAACTTTAGTTAAAAAACTTAAAATAATACTTTAGATAAAGGTACAGAATAATAATTGGGATTTCAAAATAGATAACATAGATGCTATTTATGATCGCATCAGCATCTGGGAAGTTGCACATTATCAAGAGTCACAAACACGACTCTATAAAGACACTGACCAATGCCTGATGGAGCAAGATCTGTAGTTAAGTTCAGTAGATTGAGCAGGTCATGTCGCTGGGACGGGGTTATATGAGATACCAAAAAATTTGCTTGAGCTGAACCCGACTGAGAGAGGCTGTGTGGATAGTGATGGAGAGGGTCAAGGAGCTTGCTTGGAGTTCGGAATTGGAGGACAGTTACATTTGACCAATTAAACTGGTTGAAATTGCTTGTCGTGCCAATTGAATAGTATTTCTTGGTAAGGAGTAACATCATACTTTCTTTGTAAAAAATATTTAACCTCAAACACTATTAAAAAACATGAAGTTAATACACTTAGTAATTAATTATGTATTATTAAAAAGACTTGCACCACTATTGCAATCAATAGCTCATATACAATAAAAAAGTAATGGACCATTAGCTCACTAAACTGTCTACATTATTTTATAATTCTATTACGTTTTGTCTAATATAAACCATTCTCAAGTCTTGTTTTGTAAAAGGAATGAATAATCATCCTTTAATAAATAAATCCTCTATTTTTAATATGATAAAATGATAATTTTCTTGAGAAAAATTTCAGCAACCTTCTTCTTTGACAAGAGATGAAATCTGTCTACCATCTGATATTGATTATTAACATTCAGAAACAAATTTAGTTTGTCTCTAAAACTTCAAAAATTGAGGTTTTTCATTTTTCATTAAAAAATCTGGTGCGCACAACACAGAACTTTCACTTAGCTGGTGGCCGTTTGGCAATTATAAAATTTTTGAATTGCATTTTTAACAGAGCTAAAGCTAAAAGCTTACAGCTAACAAATCACAAACACCATTAAAATAACAAAAGTCCTATTTATTATAACATCGGTTGATTATGGGTTGTATGATCCGTTGATTATGGATTGTACAACTATTAGTTATGAAACAGTTATTTTCCATTGCAAAGTTTGCTAAAATGGAATTAAGAGATTTACATTGTCTGTCATAGACAGGTCAAAAGTTGTCATACTAATTGGAAGTGGATACTGTTGGAATATCATAAAGGAAAAATTCATAAAATTATTCACTAATTTAATTTTCTAAAAGGTTATATGATGATTTTTCGGAATAAATGGACGATATGCACTTAATTAATTAAATATAATATCAGATCTAGAGTTCTTCGAGAACCCAAACAAAATACAGTAAATATTTATTAAATATATATTAATTAATTAATATATATATATATTAAATAATTAATATATATATTAATTAATTAATATATATTAATTAAGTAAATATATATTTAAGGTTATAAATATATCCATGAAATGATTTAATATTTGACTTCCTCTTTCATACAAATACAAAGAAATAGTTTTTTAAACAATGGTGGATTTTGTAAAATGATTGGTGCCTTGATTTGGTGGATTTTAAATATTTTTTCAAACTTAAAAATATTTTAAAAGTTTACACTTAGTTAGTAAATTTTATTTAATTTCCTTTAAAACATATGATTAATGTTAAGTAATCTTAGTTTTCGAAAATTATTTTAGTTATAAAAAAAAAATATAAATATTTTTTTCATCACTCCAATAAGCATTTCTCGACCTGGATAAGCATTTTTATTTTTTTCTCCTTTATTCAATTATCAAATTCTTTCAAAAGTTATACTTAGCATTTTTTTGTAACTCTAAATAATGTGATGATTAATTATTTAAAATAAACCATATGAAAGGTACTTTAGAGGAAGAAGTATATGAACATTGGGCATTTAAGCTCTATAAAGTGACATCAATGGGGATAAGACCTCATTGATATTAAAGACCACTTCATTATACAATGATACACCGGGTTTAATCAAAATTACCTGTTTTTTAGAAAATTGTAAAAATGTGTTTCAGCGTTGATATAAAGTGGCACTTCCGGTTAGCCGATATTAAGGAAAAAGTTGCTGTCACATCTAAGGCATATCACTATTTTAAATAGATAATATCAGTTTCGTACGACTTTTCGTTTTTGAGCTAGACTGCTCACACACACACACACACACACACACACACACACAGACCATTTTGCGGGACTAGGTTCTTTGGACTCGGGGAAAACTCAAAACGTGTGTTTCCGTTGAAAACTCAGATTCTGAAATATTCAAGATTACAATACTTTCCCTTACTATATATTACATATATAGGTAAGTGAAAATAAAAAAAACAAAAACAATTATTAAGGATTAAAATGGTTTCTACCTTATTTAAAAATAATACTTAAGAATGGCTTAAGTTAGGTGAAGTATGGTCTAATTATAAAATACATAGAGAATTTGGTGACCTATTACTTTATTACAACATAATCATGACACGAAATTAGGAATTCTAGCCAGAAATAAATATTTATTAACAGCTAAAAGAAATTATTCTAATCCTTTTTGAACTAATTTTCCTTTATCTTATGGCATTCCTCTCTCTCCATTTACCTTTAGGTCTCAATTAATTTTAAGATTACAAATAGGCTTACAATTTTTAGTATTTGTTAACAATCTCTGTAAAAATCCATATAGATTTTATTTTTATTTCTTAAGTGAGAAATTGTGAAGAATGACTATAATAAATACTTTTTACAACAAACTAAAAGGAACCAGAAATTCATAAGTTTGTTATAACAAAATTGGAAACATAAGAATAAAAACTCAGTATGTATTATACTTTATTTACTAAACCCTTACCTGTTTACACTATTAACTAAATTATTATATTTATCGTGGTAGATAATGTTGAATTGTGAGCTTCTTCTGATTTTATTTTATTTTGTTGAGATACTAAATTCCACATGTTGTAAGATTAGTAATTTAACTATCAAGGTATACTACTTTTCTTTTTTTTTTTGTTAACACTATTATACAAATAAGAAAATACTAAAAACTGACATTGACAGACAAAAACAGGATTACTTGAATTCTAGGTGGAACTGAAAGCAATAAGAAAAAAAAAATAAAAATTTTGAGATTCATATAAAAATTAAACCATTATCAAAGAAATTAATATAAATAAAACAGAGATAAAATTGCAATCAAAGGTCCTCGCAAACACAGACATTGGTATGAAGAACAGAAAATTACTTATAATAAGTATTTTTACTTCTTATAACACAGTTATTTCTTACTGGGCATAAAAAATCAAAAAGTAGTAAGCAGTTTGTATTACCAGAATTAGTTCATAAAAATAAAGGTGCTATCTATGGGAAAATAATAGAAAAATCCTACTACCACAATTTTTGATTTAGTAATTTATGCCTCAAAACTTATTTAGATGAAAAAGAAAATTTGAAGATATTTCTGATGATAACTGAATCCAATTTTATGATTTTAATCTATGATTGTTACATATCAGTAGAATCCCAAATGTCAAATATCAATAAAAAAATAATAAAAAAATCTAAAAGTGAAAAAAGGTAATAAAAAAAAAAAAGAAATAAAAGAAAAAGGAAGTATATTAAATATAAAATAAACTGAAATATATACATTTCATATGAATTCTCAAAACTTAATAATGATGCAATTATACAAACAATTCACTTTTTTCTTTAATTAAAAATAATAAAATGAGGATAGGTGAAGTACAAATATATCAATCATAATCGGTATTAAGCTTTATTAGCATAGAAGATAATCAACAAACACAGGGAAAGAAAAAAAAGGAGGAATAATGATTATAAATAACGGGGAAAGCATTAAGGGATGCTAGAGGGGTCCTCAATGACACTGCGGGTACTTATGTAAGTCGTCTATTCCTCGGTGTATTCAAATGGTTCTGGTGGCTCTGGTTCCTTTTCATCATCAGGCTTCGGCCCAAAAGCTGAAACAGAAATAAATCACTATTTATTGTACTATTAAAAACACTTACTATTAAGAACAAGAAAAAAAAAAAAAATGAATATACTCGACATATATATCGTTGGTTTATTGCAAAAATCACTAAGTACATCTTTGATGGAACTGAACTTAAGAACATTTTTATGAACTTTGATATTATTTATTGATGAAAACAAGTACACAATTTCCTGATTTCATAAACGGAAAATTCATCTTTTTTCAAGTTCTTGACGATTTAAGGTTATGAAATGTCACTTAATGACTTTTTGAAATAAACTGATGTCATAAAAAAAAATAACCCAACTTTTTTTGGAGTCATTTTAACTTAATAATTTAATTCAATGTTTTTAAATATTGGTTTTCGATATAATAACTTTAATATTGATATGAAATATCAACATTTTTCCAACATCCCTACTAATCACCAACAATTTTTTTTTGTCTCCATTTAAAGGTAAATAACTGTACATTCCAAATCAAGCTGCGTAGCAATAGATTACAAGGTATGAATTTACAATTTATTTCTAATTTGTTTATCAATGAAGTGCATGAGTTATTCACCTGCAACTGGTTCCACCAGTTGCTCCTCTTCAGATCCAGCTTTAACATGACGAACCATGATGATGCCACCGATGGAAATATCCTTCAAAGGAACATAGCTACCAGAGTCCACTAGGGTACACACCTTCAACTAAAAAAACAAAACAAAAAAAAAAATTATTTTTCATAGAAATAATAAGGTATCAATAACCAAATTAAGTAATACTGTATATGACAAAAAATTTATACAATTATCAGTTTGAAAGCAGTTTCTGTATAAATAGAAAATATAGTCAATTTTACCAACAATAAAAATTAAAATGAAACTAACAGAGTTAAAAAAAAACAAGAGATATTTTGGATAAATCAAAATATACTAGATGAAAGCTAACTTAATCTTATATTAGAAAAGCAATTGAAAAATAAATTTGGCCTTCTCTCACATTTATTTTCAAAAGAGGTATTCACACAAAATTTTATTAATTATTTATGTTGAAACACCAAGAATTGAAGAAAATATTGAATAAATATTCATTAACCATAAAGATTTTTAACAAGAATACTGGATATAAGAGAATATTTTGCAAATAACCAAGAGAAAGAAAATGCAGATTTACAACACTGGTCATCTTTCAATGGTAGACAACTGAAATGATGGGCTCCAAGCAATTCAAGACAAAAATGATTGGTAAAGATTATTAAGGAGGCCAAGAGATTGCAATCCTCATGCGAGGGCATGTTTGCCAATAAGCTAATGAGGGCTATAACATTAAGCACTATAACTATAACTATTAGCATACCATTAACTAATATAGATAAATGTTACTATGATAGTAATGGAATATAATAGTAAAGAAATTAGAGATGGTTTTGGAACATAATTGAAATAAAGGGATATTTTCATTAATTAATACAAGAAACTTTGTATAAAATTGAACTAATAGATCAGGAAAAATAATTTTAAAGGTACTTGATGACAACTATCTCTTACCTGATTTTTCATAACTCGAGCAGGATTACTTAATATTTCAAAGTTGGGTTCTGGTTTCTTTTCTTCCTTCTTTTCCTTTTCTTCTTTCTCTTTTTTCTCCTTTTCTTTTTCTTCTTCTTTCTTAGCTTCTTCATCCTGAAATGGAAAAATGATACTTTCAATTAGAAAATCTGTACCATACATACACAACATAAACAGAATGTGAATAGAATAAAGTTATTTTTTTTTTTTAAATTATCATTTCTCCAATTTAATAAACCTACCCATAATATTAATTATTATGACTAATAATGTATGCATAATCTTTAAATCTAAATCAATTCACAGCCATTTTTGTCTTTTCAATATCTTGTATTTGTTAATAATGTTTAAAATATTGATTTAAAGAAATAATAATTTCTAATAATGTAAAATATGTGAATGACAGCTATAGATTTAATATTGAATTATTATAAAATTGTATTATGATCAATACGGCAAAATAAATTTTGAAATCACTAAATACTCACAACTTCCATCTTGGAACTTTCAAGACGTGCAGTGATTCTCCTACGAGCTCTTGCTGCAATACTTAAAACGGCTGTTGTCACTTTCTCTCTTTCCTCTCTCTTCTTTTCTTCTAATGGCGGAGGATAGGCAAACATCGATGGCTTGGCATTGCTTCTGATTTCAAGCTTGGGCATCTGTGATCGGAAAGAAGTAAGTATAAATAATTTGTATGATATTGTGAAGTTTCATAAATTAAGTATTTGCTTTAAAATAAATAAATTTAATGAATTTTAATTTTAAAATATTACCATAATGATGATAATAAGACCATAGACTATAATATAAAATAAAAAAAAAACAGAACAAGACATTACTAGTAGTAGAAAATATGAGGAGATGGTTTGGAGAGGCGGTCAAATAAATATTAAATTTTTAAAATAGTATTTTAATCAACTGTTACCTGCAGTACCCTATACAACACCCTGATTAATATTTATTTGACCGTGCCCCCCAACCAACTCCTTCTCATATTATATCACGTTCAACCATCTCTACACCATTATTTTAATAATAAATTTGGTAATTAAATGATAATAGAAAGCATTTACCTTGAGATCTTGATTGAGTCCAATGACAGTTGTCGGGGTGAAGGCAAGAGCTAGACAAGGGGCCAGCGGGAACCAGTACCAGTATTGGGTGAACACCAACATACCAACAACAGCTAACATGTTGGTGTGTCCGGTTCTTGATTCCAGCGAAAGGGAAACGTTGCGCCCACCTAACAACATCATATAAATTATAATCTTAATTAATAACTACATACTCTTATAAAGATTGCTTTTTATTTAACAAGGATTGAATAAAATATGTTTACATTATATTATTGTAAATCAAATCAAATAAATAAATAAATTTTAATGTCTCATAGATAAATAATTGTATTGGTTATTTTTATAGTTCAAAGTTTTTACTAGAGCCTGGCCAAACAAGTTTGAATTTTGCTGAACAGAAAGTATTATTGGAAGTGTATATTAAATATCAACTGAGATTTAAAAACATAATAATTTAAAGAAGATAAGATCTTCAATTATCTTGGTAGCATTAAAAATTTAATAAACATATTAATCATAATCACTGGCATATCTACAAGGAATGGGGCTTCAGCCCAAATGGAATTTTATTTTTTTCCACTACTCCGTATTGTTACTGTGAGTGATCTAAGCTAAATACTTAAACAATAACAATATAGTATATTTTTTAAATTATAATACATATACAGCTATTAAATATAACCATGTCTTATGAAAATATTAACCTAAAAGCATTATTGTCCATGTAATTACAATTCTAATAAAACTTCAAGAATCACTTAAATAATATTTCATATAGCTAGTCATTTGGAACTTTTAAGACGTGCAGTGATTCTCCTACGAGCTCCAATAATTTACCAATATATGCTCCTAGGTCAGGAGTTCAGAAACTGGCTGACACATCACCCTGGAGAGCATATGTCAGGTATGTATATATAGAAAAGATTTCGGGCTGAAGCCCTCCCAAAATTAAATTCTTGATCCGCTACTGATTATAATCATAACGCAGTAAAACTTTTAACCTTTAAATTCAAAAATATTATTATATCTTATTCTCTAGTATATTTTTAAAAAATTATTATTCCTAATAATAGTGAACATATTAAGGTAAATAATAAGAGTAATGAAAAGAACTACTTTCACAAAACCAATAATTAAACCAACATATTTATTCATATATAAATATTAAAATATTTATACCTGCATCAATTATTCCTTGTGCAAGAATAGCACCGAATTTAGCCATGACATCCTCATGTTTGTCCACAATTACTTTAGCATATAAGCTACGGAAGTCTTTGACCTAGAATAATAATTATCATTCAGTGTTAGAAACAACTGTAATAAAAAAAAAAAAAAATCTGAATAATAAGAAGATAAAACTTACTTTAGGACACGTCTGTTCTGTGTGCTGAATCAAAATCATTGCGGAAGCAATGAGAGCTCCTTGTCTGACAAAGTTTACTGGATCATTTGTCATCGGATCCAGCAGGCCAATTGCTTCCTGTAAACATAATTACACCAAAAATAAACTTAATTACATCATTGGAAAGGATATGCAACTGTCCTAATAAAAAATGAAATTATATTTGTTTTTACTTTAACTGAATATAAACATTTATAATATAAATTACCTTGAGACCAGTACCAGCACAAGCGATTCCCAAAGCCATGGCTGCTCCGTAGCGTACATGCGGATTGTAGCTCTCGGCTAGTAAAGAAACTACTGAAGGGCATTGTTCGGGTGTTCTGAAACATAAAATTTTTATGTTATTCATTGCTAATAATATGAATTACATTAATCAATCTTATAAATAGAAAAATTTCATTTTTTTATGCAGTAAAGTATAACAAACTCCTTACTTGGTTATAAAAGAATATAAGCAAGTAAGGAGGAAATCAAAGATACCTTAGAAATACAATTCATATTATTAACTTTTTGGTCTATATTTCTGATAATTATTTAATTATGTTGGATGATGGTTGATCCTGATAAGATAATTCTGTAATGTATTAGTCATTGCATGCTGAGTCCCATTGCCATAAGCTTAACAAAATTTCAAAAATAGCTCATTCTATTTGATTACGAATGACAAAAATTACTATTTTTGGTAACAGGAACAAACAATCAATCTCGTTCCAAAGAAATACTTACTACAAATACGGAAATTTTATTGTGAATAAATAATGTGAATAATTTATGTTTGACACTGATTCATGCGATCCATGAAGCAAATACCTGTTACATACAAATACCTGTTACAAAATACCTATTTCTCTAATAATACAGCTGACATTCATTTAACGAATTGGATATTGGATATTGGTCATATAACAAGTATCTGCTATCGGCCTAGTCAGTAGCAGCCTCTTATCATTGATAATTTTTTTTATTAAAATATTTTTTTTATCCAAGAATCGCTAAGGTCAAAGAGCTGCTTTTTTTAATGTTATTTTTTATTTTAATAGATCAATGCCAATTCAAATATCAAACATGACCTTTCTGGAATATGATATCATTGATAACTCTGTTCCAATTATCCATTGAGAAAAGCCCCTTAAACAATTACTAAAGTTACCGAATATAGCCTCATCAAGCCAATTCTATAGATAGACCAGCCTTCACCTTCAACTGAAACGATGACCTACCATCATTGGCTAAAGGTCTTCTAAATGCCTAATCTGCAGGGTCAATTAGACATCAGCTTATTAAGATGCGTGAAACTGTTTCTATTAATAAAGTTTCCATAAAATTCAAAATATATGTGAATAAAGACATATGACACTAACGGAAATTTTAGTACTCTAAGTAAAAATGACATTGCTGGAATAAAGCAAGAGTAAATATTATATGTAATAACAGATTAAACTGGTTTGAAGACAAGAAAAACACAATATAATGACAACACATAAAATCTATAAGACCTACAGTTTTAAAAGATCTTTCAAAGTTCCTGATTTCGAGAATTTATGTTTGACACTGATTCATGCAATCCATGAAGCAACCATCTCGTTGTCAAAAACATCAAAAGAAGAAACAAGTTGAGTTCTGAACTATTACGAGGCGGTTTCTATAATGAGGAGAAAATTGACTCTGAACTAATTTTTGCAAAAAGGTTGATATGAAGAATAAAAGATAAATGAAGTTTCAAAAAAACAATAATAAGAAATTCAAATCAATTAAGTATTTAAAATTTAATTAGAAATATTGCGATTGTGAAGAATTTAGAATCAGAAATTTCAATGAAACAAACACTTTAAATTCCCTTGAGTTCAAAAAAAAGAAAATATCGCAAAATTGTCAGAATGTTAATTCGTGAACAGCCTACATCAAAAATGGAACCCAATCAAAAGAATCAATAAAATAAAAGATGTTAAAGCATCTTAATTATTTAAATTGACTTAATATCAATTCTACTTTTTTTTTTGTCATTCTCTAAAATGGCTTTAACTATTTTCATCAATGTACAACTAAATGGTCTTTCATATGAGCTGGATTTCATCCTTATTAAAATAGTATAATAAGGCTTAAATGTCGAATTTTCAAATGTCTTCCTCTAAATAAAAATTATTTGCTCACGATTTCCTTAATATTTAACAGTTTTAATATCTACTATAAACATACAAAAGTTGCGATAACTTCGACATGGCTCCATTTATCCACACGAAAATTAGTATGAATTTGGGGTCCTATAATAAACACAAATGTAAACATAAAAAATAAAATACAAAAATATAAAAGTTTAGTAAGTTTTTATTTATTTATTCTTTATAAAAACGTAAAATTTAAAAAGTGTTTGAAGAGCAATAATTTAGCTTTCCAACGGTTGTAGTAAGGTTAACTTAAAACAAAATCCTGAGGTGTTATTATATTTTAGTAAACATTTTTTAATAAACAACATGAGAAAAAAACGTCCCAGAAAATTAAGTCCAAAAATTTATATTTTTTACTTCAGAAAAAACTCGTATCTAGGAGTTTTAGTGAACGCTAAAAACGAATCAGAATTGTTTTTTCGTGACAAAAATTTACATGGGATACTTTACTGGAAGCGTTTTTGGAATTTATTATGCATTAAAATTAGTTTAATATAATTAACAACATGTTTTTCTTTTTTTACACATAAAAACAAATCGATTGATATATAATAACTCATCCCCTGAGGTCGAAGTACATTTTTTATAATTAATTTCTAAACGGTCTCTCCAGCCACTGCATTGTATAAAAACGGATAGAAGCGTGATCATTTAAACAGGGATGTTCCAAAATATCTTATACTCATTAGTAATGGTACCCAACAATATAAAAATTTAGGCAATTAACAAAATATAGACATAATTGATTTCTATTTTTTAATTTCAGGCAATCATGTTTTATTATTAATTTAATTTATATAATATTATAGACATTTCTTAAAAAAAAAAAAAAAAAAAGAATAAAATTTTAAATCAAGCTAGGACACCTAATTTATGCAACAAGCTTTGCAAAACCTTAGTCACAAAACTCAAGAAATAGCATTGCCATATACGGACTGTAGTAAATTTACCCTAAATTAGCATTAATGGTCCCCACAATTTAAATATTCATTAATGCTTGCATTTGAAATGGATTTTGTTTTTTTCGTTCAGAAGTTTTATATAGCTAAAGGTCATGAATCTGAAATCTGATTTGTAACATAAAGCTTATTCATATTACAATTATCAATGCATTGCCAATACATCTCAAAAATAGAATAAAACTAATATTAAAAAATATCAAATTAAGTAAAAAATAAATTATCATTATAAAGAACGAAGGCCTTTCAAATGGAGAAAACATTTATAGAAGTTGAAAAAAAAAAAAAATATTCTCTACGATTATTTTTCTTTTCATTAAATATAAGTTCGAAACATGATCAGACGAAAGGAACATATTAAAGTGGCGCCCAAACGACAGTTATTAAGTTACCACCCCTATAGTGGTAGCACTCCCTACCGGCACGCACAACAGGACACTGACATCGATGTAAAAGTCACGTCACGGGCAGCGAGCTCTGGAGCACCACTTGTCCCTCGTCACCGCCAGAGGGTGGCAGTCCACCGAAGGGGGACCTCACACCGGCCAGGAGGAACTATTCTTAACTATCATATCGGCTTCTTACAGCCTAACATCAAATAGTTTATATTAAAAAAATATATCAGAACTAAATGGATGATGCGAGAGCTCTAATTCTGAGAGATGAACACTTAAAACTTTGGTTCTCCATTATCGTAATCAAATCTGTAGCGACTAATGTTGAAATGATTCGATCCCGTATTCTAGGCGTCAAAATAATATGTTCCTAGTCCAGGAGTTCAGAAACTGGTTGACACATCACCCTTGAGAGCGTATGTCAGGTATGTCTCGGCAATCATATTCAATATTTAAGGCCAAAGTTGTCTATTTTGTTAACAGGCATCCTAAAAATTTAGAATTTTATATTTATTAATATATGACATAACCAGTTCTGAAAAGAAGTATTAAACAATTTTGAGAGGATAATTCTTAGCAGGATAACCGGAGCGATCTGGGATCAGAATACCAAGGCCAATAAAGAACTGCTTAGAGAAACTGGTGAGTTAATATCTCATTATATAAAGGCGAAGGGGTTAAGAAGGGCGGGACGTGTAATCATAGCTCGGAGCAATTCATCTGGAAGCCTCTACACAACAATGAATGCTTAAATGGTAGCAAAGAGACCATGTGTAAAGCCAAAAAGCATATCGATAAATCGACATACCAACGATGCAATAGCTGCCAGTAGATAATTGGAAAACATATTCCAAGATCGGTAGAGATATAGAAGGCTAATTAAGGCGCCGAATTCTATATTAAGGTCTTTAATTCCAACAGAATAAAAATTATATTTGGTTTATCTATATTGAACAAAAAATTGGTGAAAATCCAATTATACTGCTTTAAGGGTAAGAGTGCTAATTTTTTTGCATTACAAGGATGCAACGGAAAAATGTTTTTTGAGAATCGTTATCCAAGGTCATGGTGTATAGTTAATAAAATAAAATAAATGAGAAAATAAATATTTATACAACGTCTATGTTAATTATAGATATAATTATAACGTTTAAATTAATATAAAGTATAAGATGTATGTTTTACAGCTTGGAACAGCGGCTGTTAAATGATAGCTTTTGAATAGTGAAAGTCCAAACGTATTCACAAGTTAGGGTAACTTTGGGATAGCGGTCAAATCAAGTTTGTGGTGGATACGCTGCGTTGGTTCAGTCTGCAAAAACATACTTTGTGTAGGCATGTACTGCGCTACTACCTTACTGCAGTTTGAAAACCCTAGTTCACTACATTCGTTGTGCAGTTAGGTTTGATTTATTTCCATTGTTTTTTTTTTTTTCTTCAAAATTCTTGTTTTCACGAAACTATCGCTTGTTCCTCAGGAGTAGTGTGCCGCAAGGTAGTAGCTATCCATGCTGAATGAACCAACACAGTGAATCCACCACGAAATTACTACAAACTAAATTTTACCAGCTCTCCCAAAGTTATCCCATCTTACGGTATATCCACTTTATCTAGTTTAGTTTAGTATTTATTCGGTATTGATTTATAGAAAGATACAAACAAGAATAGGATTGTATCGAAATTTAAGAAAACCCGAAAAGAACTAGTAGAGATTAGATGAGCCAGAGCGGAACATTGGCATTCCGTTAACAGCGCGAGGTACGGGGATGAAAATGGCTAGAGAGCAGCACTCACAAAGCCTAAATAAACGATCGGTGATTGGCCGGGGATAATAAGCCAGCTTGGATGTTGCACACGCTCGGTTCGAGATCAAACAGCCCGACCGGCGGCTATCCGGGCGGCCTCGCGTTCAGGCCACGATACTTCACAGCCTTCAGGGCGACACTTAAGCTGGGATATAGGATCTATATCATTGTTAACGTCATCTGCAGGTCTTTTATAATAGTCCAGTGATCAATAATAAATATATTCTGTCAGTACACCTATCATGTTAATACTAATCCAATGGGTAGCTGCTTTCAGTTGATATTAATAACGTTATTGCCACGATAACCGTGGCCAATCATTGCTAAAATAAAACAACACAAAAAGTAAGTATGTTAATCAGTTAATAAACAAGAAGCACGTTAAAACTTTAAAATTAATATCTGCCAATATATATATATATATATATATATATATATATATATATATATATATATATATATTGAAAAATACTAATAAATACTATAAAAATACTAAGTAAAAATACTATATAAAGGATTGTACTTGGCTATTACTTGCTATGCGGCAGGAGCTTGGGGAGCTAAATTAAATGTATGGACAAGACGGCGATTGCGTAGAGGTCAGCGAAGGGTATTATTAAGATGGCTGAGGGCATATAGAACGATTTCGCAGGACGCATTAGAAGTATTGGCAGGACAGTGGTCGTTAGATTTATATATATATATATATATATATATATATATATATATATATATATAACAATTTAACAGTCAATATGAATTTCATTTTTTTTTTTTTTTTTTTTTTTAATTTGTTTCTTTCTTTGAAAATGGCCTAACGGCTGAAAGGTTGATGAAGAGAAAAAATAAAATAGGCCTATTGTGATCTATAAGTGTTTTTATTATTACTTATAAAGTGAAGTCCTAAACAACAGGATTAAAATATATATATATATTTTAATTATTAATTAATTTATAATTTATAATTATAATTATAAAAAAATATATATATATTTTAATCCTGTTGTTTAGGACTTCACTTTATAAGTAATAATAAAAACACTTATAGATCACAATAGGCCTATTTTATTTTTTTCTCTACATCAACCTTTCAGTCGTTAGGCCATTTTCAAAGAAAGAAACAAATTAAAAAAAAAAAAAAAAATGAAATTCATATTGACTGTTAAATTGTTCTCGTAACAATAACAATACCTCAGGTCATATAAATTTAATTTAATTTTAAAATAGGTTCCTTTCTCCGCCACCTGTATAAGTCCACGCTCAAGAAACTCCAGAGTTATCAAAACTCCATCCTTCGGCGAATAGTCAGAGGTACCACCCTGCAAAGGGCAAAGAATGTAAAGATCCGAGAGGAGCTTCAGCTCCCATCGGTGCCTGAGTTCATAGGCCGAAGACACGTCAAATTTTTCGATGGGCTGAAGGTCTGTGGTAACCCGCTTTTCCAGGAAATAGTACCGCCGCCCAGGCCTGGGAGGTGGCAAGGTAAAGTCCCCTTGGTTGATGTTCTCGCCGAGGGAAGGGGTTTGGACTCTGTAGTTCACACCCACTAACAATAATATAAATAATAAATTAATGCAGGGCGGTCCCTCCACGCCCAGTGGTATAATAAAAGGCCTCTGGCCACAAATGCAAAGAACGCATACAGCGTGCAGAGCCCTCTTAACTTAAAATGCCCTTGGGCAATAAAAGGAAAGTTGAAAATTTATGTATATATACATTTATATACATACTGAATTTATTCAAGAAATTCCTGGGGGGTAGGAAAAAGAAAAAAAAAAAAAAAAAAAATAGGTTTCTTCCATTGAAAATGGTCTAGAGGCTAAAAATAAAGTAGGACTATTGTGATCTAAGAGAGTTCAAATAGCAAATATACTACTAACTTGCGGCACAAACGAAAGTTCCATGAAAACAAGAATTTTGAAAAAAGCAGAGGAAATAAATAAAACCTAACTGCACAACGAGTGGTGAACAAGGGTGCTACAAGGTACATGCCTACTACAAAGCACGTTTTTGCAGACTGAACCAACACAGTGTATCCACCACGGAATCAACACAAACAAAATTTTACCCCGCTGTCCCAAAATTACACCATCTTACGGTATGTCAAAGAAACGTGCCAGCTCAATTTTCATTTTATAATAAGGGCCACTATTTATTTTTTTCGAGGGGTCGAACCAATTTCAGCATAAACCTCTTCAAAGAGTTAGTACTTGGCACAGACCTCTTCCATTTTTATCAAATTATTAACACTCTCCTAAAACTCCCCGAATAGCTTTATCTGATTGTAACCTACAAATATTTTATTTACGAAAATTCTCTGAATTGGAGCGTTTTCAATCTGCAGGTCGTCAAACTTTGCCTATTTAATTAGATACTAAAATCTTGTAAATACCCATTTGCATTCCACTTGAATCGTGAGATAACTTGAGCACGAAGTCGAGGAAAAAGGTGGCCTTCAAAACTATTGAGCCGTTTGGCGTAACCTACACCCCCAAATTTTCAAAATAACTAGGTTATATAGGACAAACGGCTCAATATTTTTGAAGTCCACCCTTTTCCTCGACTTCGTGCTCAAGTTAACTAACGATTCAAGTGAAAAGAAAATGGGTATTAACGAGTTTAAGTACCTAATTAAATAGACAAAGTTTGCCGACCTCCAGGTTGAAAACGCCACAATTCTACGAGTTTTCCTAAATTAAATAGTTATAAATTACGATGAGATGAAGTTTCAGACGGATGTTAATAATTTGATAAAAAGTGGTCTGTACCACGGAATAAGTGTTTTCAAAAACAATTGTACAGCTTCTACAACTGAAAGGTGACAAGATAGTCTAAACCGGTGACGCTATCTGCTAAACTTGAGGACGGTATCTACTTACCCAACGGGTCTGGGTCTCTAATCCACTCAGGTCATTCACATATCACGGAGCTTTCTATTTTCAAATACTGACTTATTTAAGTATAATAATAAATAGTTTTCATATTACTACCAGATATATCGCACCGGTAGCGATGGTTTTTTCATTAGTTAATAGTTTCATTTTTCCCGGGAACCGCTAAGTTATTACAGTAAGCTTGGTCTAAGTAGGAGCGCTTCTATAAAGCCCACAGCTCCATAAACATGAGAGAGACCAATTTACCTTAAAGGGGTCTTGTTATCCTTCATCCGAAAACAATGACTTTAGCAAGGCCGGGAAGATGAGCTTTTTACAAAATATTACACACAAGGCCACAAAGAATAATATTATGATATGAAAAGCTCAGATAATCCAATACTACATATTATTATTTCCGTCTCAAAACATTTTATTTAATTTTATTATTTCAATTTCACATTAAATTAAATATTTTTGTTAAACTCAGAATTTATTTAAGTCACGTTTGTGGAAATCAAACCGCTTTGTGAATATTGGTTTCTTAAATGCTATATCTATATTTTAGTTTTCATTTTACTGAGAATTGTTTAATAAAACTGAAAAAGTTGAACTTGACATTTGAATGAATATTCAATTTTTTTAAATCTTTATGTCATGTTCTGTGATTCTTTTATACTTTTTTTTTCAAGTTTATAAAAGTTAATTAATATTATATTCAATAAAACCAGGTAGGTTGAATGTCGATACTTTTCCATAATTAGTGGAGATTTGAGTTTTTTTTGTAAATATTTATTTTATTTTTTATGAGCAACATATTTCTTTGACTAAATATAAATTTTATAGTTGATACTAAAATATATTATTTAAAAAAATTCTAGAGTGATAAAGCATTGATTTATTTTTTGTGATAGAAATTGGCAACATTGTTAGAGAAAAAAATAAAGAAAGAAACGTTTTTAGATTTGATCACCAACATAAGCCACCATAAAGTAACGGCGGCCAATTGCTTTTATTCTCAACACATCACAAGTGCCATATTATTAATTTCACTTACCTATAATTGTAATATATAGTAAGGGAAAGTATTGCAATCGTGAAAAACTTCGGTATATGGCTGGGATGTGACAGCAACTTTTACGTTAAAATCGTCATACTGGACTGAAACGACAAGAAACCGCTCGACGATTCCGATTACTTCAGCACTTACTAGACAAACGCTCTAAACTTCTAATTAATTAAAAAAGACTCATATAATGACTATAATAAGGCCTATTTGGACTTACGGAGTTGAGCTATCGGGCTCCACTAAACCATCGAATTCCTCTTGTATCCAATCCTTACAATCCAAAATCCTTCGTAAAATCCTCAATGCTCTCTACTTTGTTACAAATAAAACCATCCATAAAGACCTTAATGTTTCTTTTGTTTCAGATCTGGCCCAATCCAGATTCCTATCCTTCCATAATGAACTTCAGAATCATTCCAACCCTCTCGTTACTAACCTTGCTTCCTCTTCAATTCCTGATAACCCTCCGAGGCGTCTGAAAAGAAGATGGCCCGGTGATCTCCTAATGTAGACATATCATTAGAGTGCTACCATTGGGTAGTTACTCAGCAAGTGTTTTCATGTCATTATATCCATATGTTCAAATTTACTAGATGAATTTATATAATACAGTTGTAAATATCATTAAGAAATAATTAAAAAAAAAAAGTTCAAATCGGCTAAGCGGAAGTGATACTTTGTTATAGATTTTACACATTTTTACCACTTTCTTGAAAACAGCTCTTAAGATTTTGATTAAACTCGGTGTATTAATGTATAATTAAGCAATCTCTAATATCATTTAGGTCTAATAAGTAATCCCTATTGACGTCAATTAACAATAATACCCAAATTTCAAAATTTCTTCATCTAAAATGCCTTCAATTTGTTTTATTTTAAATAATTAACTATCTCTCATTGTTAGGAGTTATGGAAAAAAAGAGAAAAAAAGAAAAATGCTTACCCAGATCGAAAACGAATCTCCGGAAGGTATGCGTACAATATATCGTTGGAAAGCGGTGAACTTTAGAAAAAATAATACATTTTCTTGTGGTAAAGTTACTTTACTAAAGTATTAACGCTTAGATTTTTATTTTTTTGAGAATAATCACAGAATAAGAAATACATCTATTTAGCTGATACAGTAGTATTTTTCAAGGGCACTCCATGTTATTATATAAGGTGTCTTTAAGGAATATATAAGTTTTTTTAATTTTAGTTCAAACGACGTTTCGAGCAGATTAGCTCATTCTCAAGTCATCCACAAATAACAATTAACAAACATAATTGACAATAGTGATCACTGATTACCTAATCATATAAAAAAGTGAGAACTTACCAAAAATTGTTATCTACGAAAATATATTTCTGTATCATAATTTCATTGAAGATTCATTCTATATAAGTGCTTATAAATTCCTTGAAGACACCCTATATAAATGCAAAAATCTAATATGAATGGTGTCTGCTCAAACCAATGTAATTAGAACTTAGCGAATAATGGGCAATACAGTGATTATATTTTATTCCGACAAACCACACGACAATACTAATGGCGGGAATGGAAGGAAATGGCTGATACAAGATAAAGAGACGGATGCCCAGAGGCAGGAGGAACAGAAGGAACAAACATCAGAAGAAGCTCAAAGGCGGGCCTACTCATTAGGAGAGGCTGCCTTTGATCTGGGACTCTGGCGTCGCTCTCGATTATCTCAGTCGATCCCCTCTTGTCTTTTATCATATAACACCTTATAACACGTCAGACCATGTCAAGTAGAAGAAGAAAAAAAGGTACCATTTCTTGCCTAATACAGTTAAGATAATTTTTTAACTGATATATTTCTAGGTTAATCTCCGTCTCTAACTTACTTAAAAACATCAAATAGTATATTTTTTTAATCAATAACATTCACGTTTCTTGCTTATAAAATAAAGTTAATTTTCATTTTTTTATTTAAATATGAATCGTGAAATTAAATTGTGGCATTTTTCATAAAATAAATTGTTATTACAGTAAATATAATTGGATAGTAGACTTTCAAGCGAAAAAAAAAATAAAATGAAAATTTGCGTATTGGGGCATTCTTCTTCCAAACAGACGATATGTATAAGTTTTAATATTCCATAAGCGCATGGAAAATGTAAATGTTACAACAAAATCTTCTTTCCTCTTTGAATAAATCTATTATGCATGCACAGAACTTTTTCATTCCACTCTACCTTGAGTAAGCAATTAACCATAAATCAATGAATGAACCATGAATCAGTCAATGAACTTTGAGAATATCATTTTGACTGAAACATAAATCAATCATTATAAAATACTAGTTCGCTGTACAGAACTCTCTTTATCAAATTATCAATACTAGTTATAAGTAAATAAGAACTGCAAAGTTTAATTGACTATGATTACGTGGATCGTTGACTTCTCAAATAATGGCGGCTACTAAGTCTCGATGGACTCAATTTAAAATAGGTTTTACAACATGGAGTTCGTTCTATTGTATATAAGATAATTAGGAATATAAACAAAAAAAACAAAAACAGTTTTTCTACAACTGCCTGATGCTAATATGTAGTAAGTAGAATTTATTTCTGTTTTAATTAAAAACAAGCGTAAGTCTTATATTATTTTACCATTTGCTTTTTCTGGACCTGTCATTACATGTAAAAAGATTATTAAACGTTTTGAATCAAATATGAGTATAGATTACCAGTTATTCATTAGTATCATTCCGATTAATTATTTTCAATAATGAAGTTTTGTAATCGATCAAACATAACCCCAACCCACCACAAAATTTGGTATTTTACATACCGATACAGGTGAATTCCAAAAAAATGATTAACAAATTTCCGCTCCTCTGCGTCTGAGTCGTCAAATACTGAACTCAGTTATAAAAAAGTAACACTCGTGAAGTTACTAAACAATTAATGATCAGATTCATGGTTGTAGCCAGAAGGAGGGGGAGAGGGACAAATTTGGGTAGTTATCCTTTCAATCCACGCAAGAAAAAATAAAAAGAGTAAAAAATATAATTAACCTAATTCTGAAAAATTGATTGACCGTGATAAGTTTTTCCTTAGGATACCAACATTTAAAAAAAAAAAATTCGAATAAAACATCTCAACATGAAAAAATTAAATTTAGAAAATCGAACATCCTTCTGTTTTCAGCTGAGTTGAACAGATTCACAATATTTACTGATTCTAAATTTCATACATCGTCCCAAAGAATTTCTTGCTGATCTGAAGTAATTCAAATCGACTGTGAATACTTTAGGAATTCCGAACTTACGATTTCTCCCTCTCTACTTCATTAATTGTTTTTCAGCTATTGAAGAATGGTATCGAAATCGAAGAATCAAAATAAATGGGAAAAAACAAATCACATTTATCCTTCGTCTTACATCTATCACAACTGTTTTACAATATTCTTCAACAATACTCCACTTTTTTTGTCGAACTAATTCGTTATCCAGAGCTACACCTTGGTAAATGTTTTACTTGAAAACCTCATACAAGACTGAAATACTCCGATTACTACAACACTTAATTGACAAACGCTCTAATTTTATAACATTCTAAAAATAATATCATATACACTACCATCTCAGATCCATTTGGACAAACGAAATTGAACTTGAGAGCTCCACAAAATCATCGAGTTTTTCCTGATACAATTCCTATAGTCCAAAATACTCGGTAGATTACCTATTACGTAACAAATAGAATTATCCACAAAGACTTCAATATTCTTTTTGTTGGAGATTTATCCTTAATTAGAAATTCATCTTTTAATTCCAAACTCATTGGTCACCTAAATCTTCTGGTTCAGGCGTCAGAAAACAAGATGAACAAGGGATCTCCTATGTACCTTCTTTACTAACTCCGATCATGTTTTATATTCTTATAACAAATTTAATTGTATTTATAGCTGTAAATTTCAATAAATATTTATAATAAAAAAAAAAATATTTTCAGGAAAAAATGTTTCAACTATGTATAACAATTTTATAATAAGGTAGCCAGCCGAAGCAAAATCAATCAGAGGGATGATGGGATTAAGCAAGGATGAGCGATGATGATGGACAATGGAAGGATAGCCGAGAGAGGTCCTTGAAGAAACAATTAGCTCGGATTTGATAAATGGAGTCCTTATTTGAATAGTATGCTAATCAAGGAGGAGGTGAGGGACCATCAATGGCTCGCTGATATTGGAATCTTTGGGCTAACTCGCTTCATTATTAACATCGTTCACGGGGGGCTTTCATTCATTAAAGTTTAAAACGGTCATTGAAGGTTTAAATTCGAAAGGACCCAGAGTAGCAAGGATGTCATTTGTAAGGCACCCTTTACAGTTGTAATAAAGAAATATTTAGTTTTAAAAAAAGTTTTAGTATATATTCGGTTGGGAAGTTAATCGGATACTCCAGTCAGTGAAGAGAAAAAAATTAAAAAAAAAAAAAAGATTACTTTGTGCAGACATTTCGGTGTAAGTTTTATGCCTTCATCAGGGATGAGAAAATAGAGGATAACAACCAAAAAAGATAGGAGAATGAAACATACGTTATCAGATTTTGAATAAATTCTAAAAAAAACAGTATACATAAGTTTTATATATAATTATTGATAGAAGTTTGTCGACTGTTCCTGTCGGACTGGTTCTGTGCAAATCGAGGGTGACAGACGATCAGGAATCTGTTAATAATTTTTTAAAAAATATTTTCTACGTTTTGAATAAAACGCCAGGATCTTTACCAGGGCATGTTTTCAGCAACCCCGACGGTATTCAAGTACTCTGTCAGTATAAGTTATAAAAATGTATAAAATAACAGTAACAAAGAAATAAGAAAGGATGAAATAAAATATAACGCACAAGTCAGAAGACTAACATAAGTAGGAAAATAAAATTAATACGGAGTGGTGATAACTGTGAGTTATAGTTATCACATATTACTACCACGTCTTACCGTTATAAACATTATATACAGGACTTGTATCTATGAACTGGAGGTAAAGGTCACCATGTCCATTTTTTTATTAAATAATTTAGTAACTAAGAAACAAATTTAATAGCTCAAAGTTATGGATAATTGACCATTCGGAACAAATACAAAAATGTGAAATGGTGTCCTTTATCTCCGGATTAGAAATATATTTTAATTTACTTTGATTCATCTTACATAACGTGATTTTCATTCACATCTCATATTTACGCTTACATAATTTATTTATTATTAACATTTAGATATGATCATGCCTTCTAATTTTCTTGTTTACGTAGTTTTATTTCTATTTTTTATTGGTTGTTATTATCTTATCTTTACATATTCTCAATGAAGACCTAAAACCTGACCGAAATGTAAGAAATTAAATTTTTTTATCATATAGTCTATCGTTGTCATATGCATCATTTGTATGTAACTTAATCTTCTTGACTCCTAGACAAAGATGGGCAAATGCTGCTCTACTACTAAGTACCGAAGAATTTAATTGCTACTTCAGCTGATGTTAAACGATTAGTGATTGAATTACCAATAGTGATTCGATTTGAGTAAAATACTTGATACTAGGTACAGGGAGTAGCATTTGCCCATCTCAGCTCCTGGAGTTGTTGTGAATACAAATAACCAGGGCAACGTATACCTCAGTTATACTGTTATAGTAGTAAATAATAAAATAACTAATAAATAAGTAACTAATAAAATAAGTAATAAAACAAAATAACCTCAGTTATACTGTTATAGTTATCAGTAGTAAAGAATGATTTAAAACGCGAAGTCTGCGCCATCATAAACCCAGTTTATAGATATGCAATTGATGTGATAGTGTCTATATACTATGCTATACGGCTAACTGGGTCAGAAAGAAATATACACCATTAATGAATTTGCGCTGAAGAGACCGGTTAATGCTCGAGAGGTAAACCCTGAGGTAAATGGAGGGATTGTGCTAAGTGCAATCATGCAAATTCAGGTGACACGGTTGTCGGTCGAGAGGAGTGTGTAGGTATCAGTTTTAAGCGGTTTCGGTGCTAAGCCTCTAAGTTCCTTAGGCCTTGTCATGACTATGTCCTATATAAAACCTAATAAAATATGAATTCTAATGTCATATTTTTAAAAACATATTCCATTTTCAGTCATGCTTTCATCGGAATTATAATAAAATACAAAATTTACCACATTTCCACAAGAACAAAACACTCACCAAATAAGTAAATGTTTCATTAATTGTTTTATAATCCAGAGCGATTAGTGAATAAATTATCATTTATATAACTTCTAATTATATTTAGCTATAACAAAAAATATTCAAGAACATTCGGAGAATATTCTGCATATCATGAAGAATAGATAACCAGGACACAGTCAATTTTGGTGGAATCCACAGGCGGATCTACGGGGGGAGGGGCTTTCGGACTGAAGCTCCTCCCCCAAAATGGTAAAATGTAACTATGTTTTATGGTAAAAAATATTTAAAAATTTTCCCTTAAAGTATTATTGTTCGTGTAATTACATTTAATAGGACTTCAGAAATCACCTAGACACCATTTCGTATAGGTAGATAGAATCTTTCTGTTTTTTTAGAGTAGTTATCGTTATATATATGAAACAAAAAAATGTCGGGCTAAAGCCTCCCTCCCCCAAAATGAAATCCTGGATCCGCTAGTGGTGGTATCCAAAATTAACGGTGTTCTGATCATTAGCAAAAAAAAAATTGGAAGTTTTGAAAAAAATC